TCCACGTGCGCCTAGGTTTTTGACCCTCGTACTAGGAAAAACAAACAAAATCAGGAGTCCTGAAATTGATTATTCTGGTTGAAATCTTTGATTTCTGTCAATTTCTATAAATATTTGTCTACAATATGTCATGCTAGGTAAACTTAAGCATTTAATATCCTGATTTTTCTAAAGATTAAATCTTTCTATGAGAAAAATAGAATAATGAAATCAATTCCTTTGATTGACCTCATTTTTATGATTATAAATTCTGTGTTTTATTTTTTTGGTTTGTGTGTTTTTTGCGATTAGGTAGTTAGGTTTTTGAAAGATGGATGGACGCTAAACAGAGAAAAAAGTTGGAATGGCCTAATTAAATCCTAACCGTGGTCATAAAAGTTCATTAATGAACTTTTGTATAATTTAATATCACTGAGATATATCAAGATCACAACTGAAGACTTGTTTTAAGGTATTCAATGTATAATGTGGGGATATTGAGCAATTTTGAATCATTTTAAACCAGTTAGATATACATTGCTAGATAACGATGAAAGTGAAATGAACCAAATTCACATGACTGATAACATACAAGTAGCCGGCCATTTTGCATCTTAAAAGTTTTTGAAGAGTTATCTGCCCTTGATAAAAAGAGGAAAATTTCAATTTTTTCAAAATTTCTGTGGTAAACGATTTATTTTATTTCGTATTTTAATAGAGAGTTTATGCATATTTTCACCAAGAAATTTGTATGAAGTTCAAATTACTTTTTACAAAATCTTGATAACACATGCGCTGCCCATAGACTTCAATGTAAAGGACAATAGTCAAAATTTTGAAAATTGCTTTGGTGGAGTTTTTTTTATTTGATAACACCTTCAAAATGCTACCTTGATAAAAAATATCGGACCATTCATTTACTAGATACAAAATATGATCGTTATACATTGAATACCGTAAGGGAAAAACAGGGTTTTTACATTGCTGGTTTCCACTCTGAACTTTGCACAAAAAGTGAAAACCCCAAGGAACTTTTAGAAAATTTGAAATCATAAAATTTTTCCAGAATCAATCACATCAAAACGAAAGACTTTTCAATACTTTATACAACCATTCCCCACGATAAATTAAAGTCCAGGCTTTCTGACAACATAGAACAGTGCTTTTCATTAAAATGGAACTCGTATATCTACTTACCTTGTCAATGGTCATTTGCAAAAAATATTTTTTTAAATCATTTTGATTGTACGCACAAGTACACAAAACTTGATATTAAAATGATGCTTGAGTTTCTCATTGACAATACCTATGTAGTTTTTAGAGATCTAGTCTTCCTATAATCTGTCCGAATTCCAATGGGTACAAATTGTGCCCCGTTATTAGTTGATTCAACGCGCAAGAAGATGCACTTCGTATGAACTATTTGTGGACAAACTATTGACAAATAAGCTGATGAAACAAGAATATCAAAGTCTTGTTTAAAGTTAACATAACGCAAATTCTATGGTCACTACAATAACCTTGTTAGCAAATACAATTTATCATGAAGTCTAATGTTGACTGATGTTTTTCATAAAAATTGTTAGGCCACTGAATTGTCTACGAATTTTTTTCGTTTGCCCGCTGATGACAAGGAACACACGGCGGTTGTGACTGGTCGACAGAGGATATTTACTCCTGCATGACACCCGATCCCACCTCTGATGTTTTTAGAGGTCCGTGTTTGGTCTGCTTCAAATTTGGATTGTTTCACTGGACTTCTGAGCTTGATTACTGTTCGTTATATTCATATTTCGTGAATGGTTGCAAATCAATATGCAAAACGTTAAAGCTGAATGTTTTGCCGAGAAAAAGCATTTAATAAAATATATATATATGCACAAAGCACGAAATTACAACTATTCTTCTAATTTATATTTGAATTAACGAGGATTTTCAATGCATATACCTTGTAGATGCTTGCATATTGAATTGAATTGACGAATTGTGATAATATATTTCTTCAGAATCTTTATCAAAAACATTCTACGAAAAATAATTTTGAGTAGGGATATTTATTCACTTCCGAGTTTAAATACTTATGATCTTTTTTAACAAAGAAAACGATTGCATTTAAACACGTATGTTAATGTTTAAACGCAACCTTTTGTCATTTAACAAAGTCCTTTGCATTAAAAAAAAATCTGATCATGAGCTGGCCTCATCAGCCCTCTTTTTATTTGGGTGTGCTCCAGGAATTAGATTATCTGGATATTTTTAGGATTATTATCTAAATTTTTGATAAACTGGAAATTCCGTCATATTTTCAAGCTTTGATAAAATAGGGATGGTAAAAAGTCAAGTACATGTACACGCTGAAATACAGGACAAAACATTTTTCTTTGACGAATTATGCTCAAAGACTACTAGGGAAAGACTCAACTGTTTTATGTGGATAACATTCATGTTGTAATGATACCTGCCATTAGAAATATTTATATGCTGATATGTTGTATTTAGAGGATTTTAAGATTGATCACAATTTGTTATATTCACCCTTCTCATGCTTACACTTCCACACTCATCTGATGATACTTTGACCATAATACACTGATAGTCTGATTATTGTCATTTTCTGATGAAATTTATAATACTCAGGTGAAATGGTTATAACCCAAAGGCAAGACATGAGATCGTTTCAACACGAGTGGAAAACATGCTTCATGTATTTTAGAAATCGCAATTGAAATACTCTTCTGAATTATTTTGAAAAAGAATATAATAGCAGATTTGTTTGTAAACTGTCTGGCAAAGCATATCATGTTAAAGTATACTTGTATAATGACAGGTTATACATGTACATGTATGTAAAAGTACCAACATTTTATGTCAAAGTATCAGAATATTATGAAGAAGTATCAGCACGTAATGTCAACGTATCATTATGTAATGAAGAAGCACCGATCATAAAGACAAAATATCATTAAGACATGAATGTTTTCCACATGAGGCAGTTTAAGCGTTCCATAGACTACTTTATGTTTAAATGAGCATTGTTACACTGAAAAAAACATGAACTTGCAAATAATTAAAATAGGTGATGTTGCCGGAGATTCGCTGATTCACAAGAATAGAAGAATCTTCTGACTTAGTTTTACTGGTCCAAGACAAGAATAGCTTTTGCCATAGTTACGTCTCACTTCTCCGTCTATATCTCTGTTCATAAAACTGTTACTCCTCTTAAAACTTTCTTTCGATCTTAATAAACCTTGGTACAAATATTGACTGTACTAAGATAAATATTTCAATGTTTCTGATTTTTACGGTAGGTGTTGCCTGGTTACTAAAATAAAAATTTGTGAAATAGTTTAAAAATCTTTTCCTCTAAGTTTCGGTCCGATTCCAATAGCATATGGTATGAATATAGACTACACATAATTCTTTACGTTGTTTTTTCTTAACTTTTATGAACATTTTTCAATATTGCTAAAAATAAAAATCTCTATGAAATTCTTTTTAAAAAAGGATACAGGTCTTTTTTCTCTGAAAAAGCCAAGAAAAACATACTTTATTAGATAGTATATTTCAACCTCATAGAATAAAAGCTGTTGCGACCAGCATTCAGTTATAAAGCTCAGTAAATGCAAGGCCATAAATAGAGTTTGTATTGAAATTAAACTTTTGTCGATTTATAATATATAAAATTTATGATGAAACATTATTTAAAAAACAATTATTTTCATAATTCGTTGTAGTAGGTGTTTCAGTATGTATGTCAATTAATGACAAATAAAATCGTTTAAATTCCAAAATAATACAGCGTTCATTAGCAGGATTATACTTATTTGTTGAAGTGGTTTCCACATGGTATACCCAAAGGTACTTGTGAATAATTTCCATAAATATTTAATATCTAATTGAAAATGCGGAAAAGTCTCATGAATATATAAATTTTCAATATTACAATTATTTTGGTTTGTTAAAAAAAAATGTGAAATTCAAGTAACTAGTTTTGACAAAAATTATCACCCGAATGAAGTCTTTCTGTATTATTGACATGTAAACAGTCTTTTCCAGCTAGGTACTTTGTATTACTAGAATATAAATATAGTAACACTTTTTGTAAGTTTTTTAGTAATCACTAAGTGGAGTGCAAAATGAATCCTTCGGATAATTTTCCTCCTAACTGGTTTTAAGAAAATCTACTTATGGTATTTGCTAAACCTGCGGTAGACCACAAATGAATGCTCACTAAGCTTAAGTGCTTCATTTAAGGAGCGTGTACAGCTATTTGAAAGCACATCTTAATTTCATGATATAGCAATTATTAAGTTAGATTTCCCAAATTGTTTTACATCCTCCTGGTAGTGCTGGCATCCGCCGCCTGGACTGTGTCTTCATTCATATTACATCACGTGACATACCTACAAAAACTATGTCACGTAATTCAAATGCTCACAGCAAAGACGTATAGTTGAATATAGCTTCATTTTATATTAAAAATATTTATTCTGATGGTAAATCTATAAAAGTTTATTTTTATTTTACCTTTCAATACTATTCAAGATACAACCCTTCAAATATAACCAAAAACAAAAAACCAAACAAACAGAACAAAAAGAAAAAATCGATAATGAAAGCAATAGATAAAATAATTTTGCAAAAGTCTTTCATCCAAGTATGTGAAATCGAACAATAATGATGAAATTAAGATCAATATAACTATATATTTCTAATTATTCTAAATTGGTATTGCACCCAGATTCAACCATGAACTATCTTATTGTGTGAATTGAAAAATTTACCACAATATTTATGGAAATTATTAGTGTAAATTATCATTTATCTTGGCTAGGTACAAAATTAAGAATTACAAAAATATTCATTATGAATCATTTATTTTTGGGTTTATATTTTCTTGTTCACCTATTTGCCTGACATTAATCATCTTCGAACAAACATTTCCACCTGACGAATTACATGTCTATGTTATCGACACCAACGACTTCCGGCAAAACTTTCAAATTCTTTTTATATCGAGGCCCTGTCATATATAAATAAACTCATTCAGATGGATAATGCAACATTAACAGTCTCCCACGATTTCAACAATCATGTGTGAGTATGAAAAGCTGTCGCTATTTCTATTATCATGTATTAAATCGTACGAATACGATATAAAAGATTTAATCAACAAACTTTTGCTTTGCTTTTTTAACTGTAATTAATAGAAAAAATAAATCTTAAAATTTATTTTGATATAATCTTGAAAAATGTTTTGTTATGAAATGAATAATTGTACTTTTTTTTAAATCAGGTTTCTTCGACTTTGTGTACATTTCGCTGAGCTTAATATCACTTGCCACTTCGTCAGCGACATCAATCACCACAACCCCTGCCTGGCAATCTCCCTGTGGAAAAACAATGGTCCAGTCAACTCTCTTGGAAATCTTAGGAACAGTTCCAAAGGCAACAGTACCCATTAAAGGCATGCTGCATAATGTCATCATTGAATTGAAAGAGACAGATGACAAAATAGCCGAGATTCAGCAATATTTCGTGAGTCCTTTTTTAATGTTTAATTTCAAGTTGTTTCATGTTAAATTTAATGCGTCTAACACATAATTCATATTCTATTTCAGATTCAACACAAATTTATTGACGCAGCTGAAGCTAATGTAATAACCGGTGAAGAAAGCAATTTCCACCATGTCATAGGATTTCCTTTATATCAGGCCATCCAAGAAAACGAAACGGTATAACTGTCGTTAAACATTGTATTGATTTGTATTTTTATTTTCAATTTACACAACTTTTGATTGTTACTAAATGTTCTGATAAAATGTTTCTTTTAACAGATAGAGGATGTTTTCTATAGAGATTATGCTACCTTCTCATCAGTCTTGGTTTTCTTGGAGCAGTCAAGTTGGGACGTCATGGCCATACAGGGTAACACCCAAACAGTTTACCAGATGTATAAATCCGCCATTAGCAAAATATTGGGCATTTTGTGCAAATATTTCAATTCCATGAATAACAGGGACATTTCTTACGTACCACGTGGGATAATGCAAGATGAGGATAGAGATGTAAATATGGAGGCTAGGCTAATTCGTAAACGGGATTTTATCATACTGAAGGATACCAGAGTGCTTTTGAAGAAAATGATTCCTGATTATGCTCTGCTGAAACAAACAGCACCTTGAAAACTATAACATGACGTTGAAATGTAGATGTAACATATCATCTTAAAGTTGGTTGTCGAATATTGCATTATAGATGGATGGGCCTAAAACTCATCAATTTTTTTGTATTTATTATTTATTTACTTATTTATTAATTTATTTGCAAAGTATATATTTTATTTGAAACGGCATTTTACTTACAATATTTCAATGTAAAATTTTTCAATCATATTATTGCAAGAGTAGTGTCATCCAAAATTAATTTTAATATAAGTCAACATCCTTTTTAGATATTATTAAAATTATGAAAATCGAATACATCAGAGCACTGTTAATCATTTCGTTATTTTCATATATCTTTTTGTAATACTTTCTATGAAATATATGAAAAAAAATTCTCTTCTTGGTATCTGTCAGTTTAAATGGCAAATTTTATTGTTCACTCGAACTTTCTTTTGCAATATTATGCAAAGTAAAACAGGTTCAATTGTGCAGAACAACATTGTGTTACATCGGAATGGTTGCAAAATATTAATTTCTTCAATTTTGTAGAAGAAAAATGAAAGTCCCCACATTGGATCTGCCAAGTTTCTCTAATGATATTTTGAACACTGATCTTTGATCTTTTTTCTTTTGCATGCAAAATTGCTTAAATATCGCATTTCTAATAAATTGGCACATATATTATTAGTGCTAAAATTTTACAGATGTCATTTTTTTCATCGACGATTGAAAATACAATATTATTCTGACATTTGTACAAAAAATAGGGAAAAGTGTATAATTTCGATACTCATGATATTTACAGTTCAAAGCCAATATATTCTGGTATATTTGATATCGAATACTGGAAGCATTTCAATACATTTCAGATTATAAAACAAACGAAACCAGTGTACAGAAAGGGAATTGTGGTCAAATTCCATTTTCTGCCAAAGAGAAAACATCCTTTTATGATACCTTAACAAACAAAAAACACAGACTCGCCCTAAACGTAATGTCCTAAAACATTTCCCCTAGAAAACCATAAAATAAGTTCTTTCCGTATTTAGAAACGACAGAGAGATGTTCAAATTAAACAATTGAATATATATACGCGTGTGTACTTGTTCAACATAAAATGAATGGTTGTGTACTATGACGTTACTTGTTTTTCACACCAATCTGTAGTGCAATATTAATACTCTCTATAACCATAAGTAGTCATTTCCTTACTCCGGATTTCAAACAATAGTGATCAAAAGTACTGGGTAGGGATTATCGGAATTTCCCTGTTTCAAGTTTGCTCATAAAATAAAAATTAGAGATTTGTAAATGTATGCCTTCATTTAAAAAAAAAATGGGTAGGCTTATATTGTATCTCTGACGATTATGAATAAAATTATGAGCTTATTTACCATTCGTAGATTTTATTTTTTTCATGGCGTATTCTGTAATATTTCACTTAAGAACGTTTGTATGAATGATTTTTTCTCTCTAGGTATCATGTTATCACAATGAATAATTAATAAAATACTTTTAAAACACCATTGATCCAATGAAACTTTATCAGATCTAACAAGTGCTTCAATAATTATTGATAGTCTAATAATGTTTAAAGAAGGTCCGATTTCAATACAAATATTGTACTGTATTTTTTTAAAATATGAAATTGTTGTGAGAAATTAAAAACATACTTTCTGAATTGTTCAAACTCCATGCAGTAAAATCATGCAAATCGTTCTTCTTTTATGGCCTCCTAAATGTTAACTTTTTCCCGTTTATTCTTCAAAATTTGCAGAAGACATCAAATTTCAGTGGAATTTTCTCTCAGACAGTATAGATCATATGCATCGTCCACAAAGATTTTAAGAATTGTGACTTCTCAAAGATTTTTACACAATAAATCCGAAAAGTGAAATGGAAGACGGCTTTGGACACCATTTTCTTCAAGAAAATAACCCCTTAAATAAGTCATTGTTACTTCATTTATATAATTGTATGTTGTTTTACGTCCCATTCGAGAATTTTTCACTCATATAGAGACGTCACCATAAGGGCTTCAAATTTTGACCTTTACTCGGCACTCAGGGCCATTGAGCAGTGAGAGATCTTTATCGTGCCAACGCCTGCCGTGACACGGGACCTCGGTTTTTAAGGTCTCATCCGAAGGACCCGCAACTTTCACTTCAAAGTGCCGAGCGCATGGCGAAGGAACAGTTGCTACCTATTTTTTATCGACTTAAGGTCTGTCGCGGCCGAGATTCGAACTCACGACCTTCCGATCACGGAGCGAGCGCTCTACCGTCTGAGCTACCGTGAACGGTACTCTTCATTTATATGTCGACTCGATATATTCCAGTAAGCTCGAAATAAAAGACACCACAGAGTCTGACACATCTGTTTCATATTTGGATATTTTAATGGAATGGGTTCCTAACAACCAAGCTTTATGATAGACGTGATGAATTCAATTTTTTAATCGTCAACTTCCCTTACTTATGTAGCAATATACCCTTATTACCTGCATATGGGGTTTTTGTCTCTCAGTTGATAAGATAAGCAAGAGCATACTCTACGTATGAACAATTTCTAAAACGAGGCAAGCTATTGACAAACAAGTTGATGAAACAAGGATATCAACAGTCTCGTTTGAAGTCATCATTTCGCAAGTTTGGTCAATATAATTACCTTATCAGCACATACAATCTATCATTAAGTCATATGCTGACTGATGTTTTTCATACTAATTGTTAGGCTATTATTAACACACTGAATTGTCTGCAGATTTTTCCGTTTTTCCCGAACATGACAAGGAGCACATGGCGGGTGTGACCGGTCGGCAGAGGATGTTCACTCCTCCATGGCACCTGATCCCACCTTTGATGTTTTTGGAGGTCTGTTTTTGCTCTGCTCCCGATTTGTATTGTCTAAATGGACTTTGAGCTTGAATACTGTTCGTTATCTCCATATTTCATTTTAGGCTTTTTCTGTTAAAAACTTAGAAATGTAACAAACTACTGATGTTATATTTCCTGGTCGGTCCTCTTTTATGCCAAATTCTTTCATGATTTATCACTTTCATATACACTGTATTCAGCTTACTCATATATTTAAGCAAATTTCACAACGTTTTCAAAAAATCAAATTTTTAGGGTTATGATAAAGTCAAACCCGTATCTTCTGTTTGAGTTATATGATAATAAAAACAAAATGTCCTTTAAATTAGATTTTATATGATCAGTCCATCAAGTTGTATGACTGAAGACCTCAGTTAATGATGTTTATGAACAAATATACTGAATAATTAAGGAATATGAAAGCAGTTTTTCTGAAAGGTTTTAAAGCATAGACAAACAGAAATGTAGTATTATACATAAAGAGGGATTGATTCAGATCCAGGGTTTATGTCTATAATAATGTTCTAAAGTTTAAAGTGACACATAGAAGAAAACAACTTTGAGAAGAAATCCAGTTGATAAAAAATAGGTAGCAGCCTATTCTCTATTGAGAAGTTGATGGCTCGTTTTAATACTCCCCCTCAAATTCTCTACGAAAGGCCTAATAAAAGCAGTTCAGAAATTGACTAAATGTAGAACCAAACCGGACCCGACTTCAATCGATGTTTTAGGTCTGATGCGATATCATAGACGTAGTCTGGATGCACAGATGTTATTTTGCCATAGAAATGCGAATAAAATACCAAGTCTGCTGACTTAAGACACGTTTTGTATGATAGAACACTTACTTGCGATATCTGTGTCGCTGGATTCGTTTATTCATTCAAAACTGCGTTTGAAATTCTAAAAAAGTCTAAAACTATTCCTCCGGATAACTATTTAACACTGGAACATCGAGGCCAAATTATCCGGAATTTTTTTTTTGACTTTTTTAGAGGTCAACCGGGTTCAAACGCAGTTTTGAATGAATAAACGAATCCGGTGACACAGATATCGCAAGTAAGTGTTCTACCGTTTTTAAGTCAGCAGAATCGGTATTTTAAATCGCATTTCCATTGCAAAACAACATCTGTGCATCCAAAATATGTCTATTATAATGCATCAATCCTAAAACATCGATCGAAGTGGGACCCGGTTTGGTTCTTCATTTAGTCAATTTCTGAACTGCTTTTATTAGGCTTTTCGTAGAGAAGTTGAGGGGGAGTATTAAAACGAGCCATCAACTTCTCAATAGAGAATAGTAGCAGCCATTCTTTCGCTTAGCGCTCGGCATTCCAAAAGTGAAAGTTGTGGGTCTTTCCGATGAGGTTGAAGGAATCTCCATTATCCTGACCCCCCCCCCCCTTCGTATTCACCCTGCTGAATCCACCCATGATTTTTGAACAATCTTTGAGTTTTGACACAAAATGGGAAAAAAATCACTTCAACGTCCCCGTTTGTGAATCACATTTGCGCAAATACCTTATTATCAAAGAAGGACAACTCATAATATCGATCATTTTCAATTCTATGTTAACGATTACTTTTCTTTGTAATGTATATAAATAAATATTGTATTTGGATCCAGTCTTTGGCTGCCTTTTTATTTAAGGTCTGACGACAACTTGCTCGAATATCTGTTTTGTATCTCTTCGTAATATACAACAAATTAATCACAATCATCATTATCTTATGATTTTTAAACTGTTTTCAATTGTTAATAAAGACATCAAAAAATTGTGATATTGGCAATGCTTGTGATTTCCAATAGGAAATAATACCCCCTGGTATCTTGCACAAATGCTTGGTAAGGTACCTCAATTTCCTGTGAGGAAATTTGTTACAGTAGCGTTAGTTCAATGACAAATTCTTGGGAAAAATTATGTATTACTGAGGAACGTGTCTATTTCGGATTTCCAACGTTTCGGCATGAACATTTCTGAAGACACATAATTTGTCGAAATGCGCATTTGGTGCATCAAACTTTATACCGTGTAAGATTAATTCAATACAATCAATACATTTAAAAGAATGATAGACCTTGCCAGTGAAGAAAACAGTAAAACTTTTAGTCTGTTATTGTTAATAAAGTCTCGGAGGAGGTTTCCCATTTAAAATGATTTGACAAACTATTAATGAAAAGATATATACATGTAAGAACATGCTCTCCAATCAGTTTGGAGACATACGCACTATATGCATGTAGTT